GATGCAAAGATGTGCTGCATTCTTTTATGTTGTGTTTGTTTAACTCTGTGGAGCTGTGTTACTTTTTCTGTCTAAAACACCTGATTGGGCTAATAATGATCTGAGCGGCCAATAGCTAGGCAGGAGAGGGATAGGCGGGGCTGCCAAGCAGAGAGAATAAATAGGAGAAGAATGTGGGAGGGGAAATGAAAAAAAAAAGAAGAGGAGGACTCCAGGGACCAGCCACCCAGTTATACAGCAAGCCCAGAGTAAGAAGTAAAGTAAGGTATACAAAAAGACAAAAGCCCAGAGGCAAAAGGTAAAGGGATAATTTATATTAAGAAAAACTGGATAGAAACAAGCCAAGCTAAGGCTAAGAATTCATAAGAAAGAATAATTCTCCATGTATTTAGTTGGGAGCTGGGTGGCAGGCCCCCCAAGACAAAAGAATAAAAACAAACAAACAAAAAAATCAAACATTAGGGTGGGCACACAACAGCTATCTGGCTCCTAGATAGAGGTCACCCTTTTGTTATGTCTGAAATTGAGAAAAAGAAAGAAAAGGAACTCTTGTTTCATTTCCTGTACAAACCAACATGTTTTCTCTTTAACAACCATTTTTCAAACACTCTGTCATTGCAAGAGTGATGAGTCAGCGTTGAGGGAATTGCTGGGACTTGTTCCTCCTATTACAACAAGCCAAAGAGTTTGGGGTTGGTTGTTCTTGGATTCTCAGAGGATTATTTATCTTGGGGTAAAGATGGGCTGCAATTTGCAATGACCACACCATACAGATGTTTAGTCATGAAGGTGACCTCAAATGAGACAAGCAATTTCTTGGTCTGACTCTCGTAAAATTCAGCCAAAAGTCCACCCAGTGGGCAAGCTTCAGGAGAAGTCAGACTGGAATGACAAAGGAGTGAGAGGGGCTAAGATTGGAACATGTGGACAGGCCAGGAAGAGAGGTCTGGAGCCGGATGAGAGGGTGTGTGCTCAATGGCAGGATGGAGAGGCTGGGCAGAATTACAAAGGGGTGGGACAAAGCAACCCTTGTATGCTTTTAGACTCTCCAACTCTGAGCTGCTTTGCATTTTCTCACTAAGAGAATTGCATGTGACATTTAATCTAAACCTAGCTGGGCAGGGTAGTACACACCTGCACCCTTGGTACTTAAGAGGTTGAGACAGGAGGATTACCGAGAGTTCTAGGCCAACCAGGGCTACATAATAAGGCTCTGTTAAAAAAAAAAAAATCAAGCAAGCAAGTAAGCTGTTTATAAGAACTGGAGGGTCAAGGACTCCTACACACCCTGATGCTCGTGGCCTGGGGCAGCCTACTGCAGAACAAATGCCTCAAGAATGCTAGAATTTTCCATAGTCCCTCCCTTTCAGGTCTTTCTCGCAACTACATCTTAATTTCCGCCTTTAGCAGTTTTCAATGCGAGACCTCTGGGTCAGCAGCATCAGCATCTTCAGAACACTAGGTACAAAAGTTTACTCTCAGGCCTGACCCTGGACTGACCGACTCAGAAACTCTGGGGTGGAGCTGGGGGTGGAACCAGCAAGTTGTTGACTGGAGTCTTCCAAGCGGGTGTTGATGCCCTTAAAGTTTGAGAACCATGTTTTTAGACGATATTAGAAGATAATGTGAACATAGACGAGCATGAGCATTGTAGGAAGACTCATGAAAAAGACAAGCCCCTCAAATATCAGATGAAGAATTTTCTAGACTTGCTATTTTCAGACATATGAAGGGGATTTGAGGCTATTGGATGAGCTCAGGACCTCACCATCTCCTGCTTTTAATCTCACCAATTTCGAACTTCTCTCCACAATGCTACTGGAGATTTGTGTTTGACCTGAAGAACTCTGACCTTGTTAAACCCCAACTTAAAGCCCTCCATTGGGAGCTGGGGAGACAGACCATGAGGGAATAGTCTTGCTTGCTCCACAAGCATGAGGACCAGAGTTCAAATGTCCAGCACCCATGTAAAAAGACTCATGAACCTGTAATCCTCAGCGATGTGCGGAACAGAGACCGGGGAATTGTAGGGGCCTGCAGACCACCAGCCTCACTCCAGGTACAATGAGAGACCCTGTCTCAAGAGAATGAGGAAGAGAGTAGATCCATACCCCAAATCCTCCTTTGGCTTCTGGGTGCACAAACAGGTGCACACACACACACACACACACACACACACACATATTCGCACACACACATAGTCACACACACACACACACACACACACACACACACCTGCCTTCAGTGATTGTATTCTGCCTATAAGATACAGTCTCAAGTGCCTGGTCTACAACCCCAAATCCTTTATTATCTACCTCTGGTAACCTCCCTGACCTTGTTTTCTCCCACCACTTCCAATCTCCACAGCCAGGTCTCCCCATCGGCAGGAAGCTTATACTGTCTCTGACATCATGTTTGACCATGTCACTGACCTTGGCCAACAGCATGGAGCTGTAGGGACAGCCCAGTCACTGCTCACATCCCTAGCAAACTTTAAATGTTTAAATCATCCTACGTCTTTCCCCTGCCATAAATGAAGTCAGTATTGTCTTTGGGCAAGGCTGGTTTGTTTTTAAGGTATGGAGGACTCTAAAACAAGACACATGAGGATTCACCTAGATCCACAGTATCGACGAGCAAGGTGTTGGAGCGACCACAGAGCAATGTGATTTGGGATGATTTGTCATTTAGCCCAAGCTGACTCCGGCAACACTAGTCATCTTTCCATCCTGTTTGCAGTGGCTTCTCTCCTCTCTTCTGCCTTGCTGTCAATGACTCCGGCTGCTCATTCTATCCTGAGCTCAAGCGGTGAACTCTCAACCTGGCCTTTATCTCTAAAGGGTCACTCTCACTTTTAGAACCTCCTGCAGAGGCCACAGACCTGTAACTCTGTCCTGGGAGCTGTGTCATGGGCTCCCCACCTGACAGCATCGTTATTATTCTTTTATCATACCATCTCTTCACTATTTAACAAAATCATTATCACTCGTGAGGAGACCGGCTCAGAGAACCAAAGCAGGGTGGCCAAGTTTCCCAGCCACAGTTAGAGCCAGGGCTCTCACCGGGTGGGAGTCGGGCTTTGAATGAAGCAATCTGCCCTGTGCCACATACCTCTGTCCCTCCCCAGCTGCAAGCTTTCCAATCCTCCCACTCTGCTGGGAAGGAAAAGCTACGACAACAGACGAAATCCACACTAATCTCACACTTGCACGATTTGCAGCCAAGAAGACACCCTGGGCCTGAGAAGACACACTCTTCCTAGATGGTGTATTCATCCTAAGGTAGACAAGGCACTGGGAACCTCAGGAAAATGGCTAGTTTGCCTGACCTTTCCCCTCCCGGGTCCAGGCTGCAGGGGTGGGGTGGGATGCCGAGATAGGCAGATGGCCTGTGAGAACACAGAGGTCTTTAGGGTTTGTTCCAGAGGAGGAGGCAGGAGAAGGTTCACGACTCCAGCAAGAGATACATGTGATATCTTAGGTTTAGTAACACAAATAAGCATGTAGTCAAGTGTCTATTTGTGTCTCAGACTAAACAGCAAAGGGGCGAGGATCCGACGGCAAAGGTCTGAACTAGAGCACCTGAGTCAGGCATCCCATCAGTTACATAGAGTCAGAAACACAAATTTCGGTTTTCTGTCGGCTGCTGGCATTTGTTGAGAATTTCCTTTGTGTCTCTGTTTTTCTCTCTCACCTTTAAGAAGAATAAAAATCATAAAACACTAAAAATAATTCCTCCATTACTCCGATCAACCATACAAATAGGGAAAGACAGAGAATTCAACAAAGTACCATGATATTCTTTCTGAAAAACATTCACAGGGTTACAAAGCATTGATTACTAATTCAGATTCATTTACCTCTGCCATCCTTTCCCATAGGATATATTTATTACCTTTAAACGAGACCATCAGTAATACTGACATTTTTCTCCTCAGAGAGTAGAAAGCTGCTAAATGCTCCAAATGACTGTTGGGCCTGTTTGGACAGGTCTGATTTACTCTTAAAACAACCATCCACTTCACAATAAATAGTAAGAGCCAGCGTCTACCGAATGCTTGGTGCTATGCTTGATATTTTTCAGATCCTGGCTCGTACAATCTTTCAAACACCGAGTGCAATCAGTGTCATCACTTTATAGATAAGGAGAGCAAAATAGGCGCAGAAAGTCTGGAGGAGACAGGGTGGAAGGCAAGCAGCCGCAGTAGCTGCACAGAACCAGAGTTAATGATTCACTTACAGCCCTCAGGCAGCTCCTTTCCACAGAGTCTGTGTGGGAACACACACACACACACACACACACACACACACACACACACACACACA